TGGGAGAACTTCTGTGCTGGAGACACCCTTCTGGGGCAAGACTTGCTTCAGTGGGGCTTTGGTGCTCACTGAGTGTGGTCAAATTCTTGATATATTTTGAAGATGGAACCAGCAGATTTGCTTATAGTGGAATGTGGGGTGTTGGGAGGGAAAGAGTCACTGTTGGCTCCCACGTTTTAGGCCTGGGTACTTGGAAGACAGACTTGCAGGGCACTGAGATGGGGAATGCTGTAGGTGGGGCAGGGTTTTGGTGGGAAGATTCTTTTGGGATGTGTATTCGGCATTCAAGTAGAGAGGCCAGTAATAGTAGGATAGTTGGAGAGATGCATTTGGCATTCTGAGAGAGGTCAGGGCTGGAGACATAACTAATGGGCATCGTCAGTATAGGAGGATGAGATTCACTCTGAGGAGGGAGGGGGGAAGTGGAGAAGAGGACACGGGACCGAGACATGGACCCCTCAACAGTAAGAGGTGGGAGAGAAGAGGCGGACTCGGCAGAGACGATGGGAAGGAGTAACAGTGAGGTGGGAGGAAGACCAGGAGGCCGTGGTGGTCAGGAGCCCAAGGGAAGCGTGCACGTACAAGAGAAGGAAGGGAGAGCTCAGCAGGCAGAGCAAGTGAGATGAGGACTGAGAACTGGACACTGGATTTAACAATGGGAAGGCCATTGACAAGTTTGGGGTTTTTTTTTGCGGTGGTGGGGGGGAGGCAAAGCCTGATTAAAATGAGTTTAAGAGACAAGAGTAATAGAGGCAAAGATCAAGGACTTGCTAGGCTATAGTGTTAGAAAATTTACTCATGTGGTTTGTAAAACAAAGAGGTTAAAGGTAAAAGAAGAGAAGTGAGCTTGGTGTCAAAAGTTATCAGTAAATATGGAAAGGGACCTGGAGGCAGTCTCTTCAGAAATAGCCTCATCGATGCAGTTAAAAGTCACAATATTCAAATCATTCTCACAGTTAGAGGTTTCCCAGACCAATAATCTAGGAAAACCATAGCTCAGTTCTCCAAGCTTCTTTAGAACCTTCCCCAAACCTCCTCTCTAACCGCAGTCCCCTGCTCCCTCTGCACATCTGTCATGGATGATGTCCCACATTTTGGTACAACCTATGTGTCCAGTTTCCCAGACCAATAATCTAGGAAAACCATGTTCATCTCAACCGATAGAAGCCCCTGGATAAATATTTTAGAAACAAATGCAGCCTGTGGCAGAGACATCTGCTTTTTCTATCCACAGAGCTGGCATTTTGTTCATTGATCAGCATATACAACCTGCTACTGAGAGCCAAGTCCACATTCTAAAGATGGATCTTTGAGGCCAGAGGGATACTAACCACAGAGATGTGGTGAACTGGGGTGACATGCTCATTTTCAGTGGAAGGAATTCAAAACCTACTCGGTTCTATTAGTATAGACGTCTAGAAACAAGATAAATAACAAAATATCATGAAGCTCAAGAAATTGAAGAAATAATCTCTGAAGGCTTCTTTCCCCCACCCCCACCCCACCCCAGGTACCAACACACATCTGCCATTTCCCCGTAACCTGAAGAAGTCTCACCGGATGGGTGTGGTGGGTCCTTCTGGTCCATCCATCTCATAAGAGAAAACAGTGTCCCATACAAATTGCAGATGCCAGTTGAAAGCTCCTCTTACAATAGGAGCGGGATAGTAGTTCAGTGTCAGGTGGTCAATGGAATCCACCATGGGACACACCACCATTTTGCGGTCCTTGGCGATGGCGGACAGCAAGGGCTCCAGCCAGACTCTGTTCACTTCACAGTGGCTGTCCAGGAACACCAGCACGTCCCCTGGGGAGGCAGGAACAGGCTCGTGTTCACCATGTGGATGAAACACCTCACAACCCAAGCCAAAGCCCAACACAACCAGTTTGTGGAATATTTGCTGTGTGTTTGTCTCTCAAGGTGCTTTCAATCCCACTGGGGGGAGAGAAGAGACACATATTTTGTACCAGATGTGCAGAGGGAGCAGGGGAACTGCGGGTTAGAGAGTAGGTTTGGGGAAGATTCTAAAGAAGCAGGGAGAACTGAGCTAGCCTTCGATTAAAAATATTTTTTATCTGGGCTTTGACCACTCAGCTCAATTGAGCTGACATCGCCTACATATTTGAAATAACAAATAGATGTTTTGCCTTTCAGTCAAAAGAAAATTAAATTCTCATGGGACTCAAATACAGGTCCAGGCTCTGTTTAGGCGCGTGGAGACGTGGAGGGCCTCTGGGGGGGGTTCTTAGGCCTCATGTCCCCAGGGAAGTGTTCATACCTGAAGCGCGAGCCGCTCCAATCAACCTGGCGCGAATCAGCCCCTCTCTCTTTGTGGTTCTTATGACTTTAATTTTTCCCCGAAACATTTCCAGGTGATAGTCTAGTTTTTCTTTCAAATCATCTGAGGGGAAACAAGTGCAAGACTTGACAATGTGTTAAGTCTTTGTTATGGGGTGGGGCCACAACATTAGTAACAAAGAAACAGAATTTCCGAAGGATGAGGCCCAGAAATCAGGATTTTAAAAAGATTCCCAGGTGATTCTAATGTGCAGCCAAGGTTGAGCACCACTGATCTAGATAATTCCAATTCACCCTTCCAGCCCTCAGTTTAGATGTCACTTCTTCCTGATTGTCATCAATGATCTCTAAAGACCAGGTGGGTGCCCCTACGTTTACCTCATGGAAGTATTAACCACCCAATGTGCCCAATAATGTAAGACCGGTTCTTACATCCACACCAGCGTTGCAATAGCATGTAGCTCAGTGCCTGCCTCAACACCACCCAAAACTGTTGTGTAAAATAACTCACATGCCACCAGAGATAGCACTGCCTTCCAAGTGGATTAGGTAGACTACTAGTGTTCTGTCTTACCAAATTCGCTCATGTCATCTACCAAAATAATTTCTTCAAGGATCTGGTGTGGAGTGAGGTTCATGACACTGGACACTGTCCGAAACAAGGTATTGAATTCTTCATTGTGGAAACAAATGACAATGCTGGCAGTAGGTAGCCTGGTTGGGTAACGTTTTTTAAGACACCTGTAGGCATATATGAGAGGAAGAAAAATGATTCATGTTTTGGGATTGCAGCTAACCTGGTTTCAAACTATATTACAAAGCTATAGTAACCAAAACAATATGGTATTGGCATAAAAATAGACATGTGGATCAAAGAAACAGAATAGAGTCCAGAAATAAGCCCATGAATATATGCTCAATTAATTTATGACAAAGGAGGCAAGAATATACAATGGGGTAAAGACAGTCTCTTCTATAAATTGTGTTGGGAAAACTGGACAGCCACATGCAAAAGAATGAAACTGGACCACTATCTTACACCATACACAAAAATCAATTCAAAATAGATTAAAAACTTGAATTAAGACCGGAAAGCATAAAACTTCTAGAAGAAAACATAGGTGGTAAGCTCATTGAGATCAATCTTGGCGATGATTTTTTGGTTTTGACAAAAATAAGGGCAACAAAAGCAAAAATAAATAAGTTGGACTGCATCAAACTAAAAAGCTTCTGCATTACAAAGGTGAGCCATTAATAAAATGAAAAGGCAACCTAGTGAATGAGAGAAAATATTTGCAAATCATATACCTGGTAAGGGGCTATATCTAAAATATATAAAGAACTCACACAACTCAATGGCAAACAAACAATATGATTTGTTAAATGGGCAGAAGATCTGAATAGGTATTGTTCTAAAGAATACATACAGATGGCCAACAGGTACACAAAAAGATGCTCAACATCACTAATCATCAGGGAAATGCGATCAAAACCAAAATGAGATATCCCCTCACACCTGTTAGAATGGCTGTTATAAAAAAGACAAGGAATAACAAGTGTTGGTGAGGCTGTGGAGAAAAGGGAGCCCTGGTGCTCAGTGGGTAGGAATGAATTTAAATTGGTGCAGCCACTATAGAAAACAGTATGGAGCTTCCTCCAAAGTTAAAAATAAAACTGCCACATGGTTCAACAATTCCATTATAGGTACTTATCTGAAGATAACAAAAACACTACCTCGAAAAGCTATCTGCACCCCCATGTTCATTACAGCATTACTTACAATAGCCAACACATGGAAACAATCCAGTGTCCACTGGTGGATGAATGGATTAAAAAAGGTTATAATAAAACCATAAAAAGTTCCATCAAAAAATGGAACCATAAAAAGAAGGAAATCTTGCCATTTGCAACAACATGGATGGACCTTGAGGGCATTATGCTAAGTAGAATAAGTCAGAAAAAGACAAATTCATATAATCTCACTTACATGTGGAATCTAAACAACTCCTCC